AAAAGAGAAATGTGGTCTCTGCCTTCATCTGAGAAAGGGAGAAAGATTTGTAATTGATATTGATATACATACACACGCATATGTACAGAAACTACATTTTGTATGTTTTGTCACTTTGCATTGTAGAATAGTCAGAGTGAGGATATGTCAGCCGAAAGGCCCAAGTCTGGCCAAGGGAGGATTCCCCTTGCGTAGGGAGCAACACGTAGGTGCCTGGAGAGTTCCTAAAGCTTTGCTAGAGCAGGCTTGGGGTCGGGGATCAGTCCGTCCGAATAAGGCATTGAACGTTTCAGGAAGATACGCTGGGCACTGCTTGGCCAGGAGTGTCATGATACAGAACCTGTTGGTTATGTAGGGCTGTCGTCATAAAATATGTCCAAACGTTACATTATTGTATCATACTGAGAGTACTCTGATTTGAGACAGATTTTAGACATAGGAAGCTGTTTGTGTGGGACAGAAATACCCTAAAATACCCTGCCTCTCCACAGAACTTAGTAGCTCAGGCACAGTGCTGTCCTTATTCAAGTGGTGCATTTTTTGTCTCTCCAGAGCAAGGAAGATATGGAGTATATCTGGTTCGTACAGTTGAAAACTAGATGCTGCTTTAGCTGTGCCGTAGGCACTCGCTCCATTTTTTAATATGCTTGGGCGAGAAAGAAAGGTGGCTTAGACCCAGCTGGTCCTGATCCACCTCTTGACATTCCTTTTTCTGTCTTCTCTTCTTGCTCTCCTTGTCTCAGGTTCTGTATTGTAATTCAGAATTTGACCTGGTAGTGAAGTGGCAACATGCAAAATTAGAGATCTGGATTTTGGATCTTTCCTAGTCTTCCTCTCCCTTTCTCTACTTTTCTTTAAAAGTAATAACTGTTAAATAGGCTACGTAGAACACTAATGTATGTATTGAAGTGTTTAATAGGCTTGTTTGCATGCATTTTCTAATTCAAATCCCAGAAGATACTCTGCTGACTAAACTGAAGCCTGGTGAAGAGTATTGAAGGAGAGAAGGTTCACTGTAAAATGGACGTAGCTGATGATTAATGTGGCGTTTTAAATTGCTCCTTAGTGGCATGCTTTTTCTTGGGTTTAATAGGTTAATGGATTTAGTGAAGTAACATGCTTGTGAATGTTCCCTAAAGCTAAAATTATTTTTTAAGTGCCTGGATATCTTCAAGACAAAGTGTGCAGAATAAAATGTTTGTTTTTCAACCATTCTGTTTTAACACTAGCACTGATGGAGCCCTTGGAGTAAGTATCAGTGCCCCGGGAGGTGCTATTGCTTCTGTTCCAAACTGGACCCTGCGAGGAACACAACTCATGAATGGCACATCCATGTCTTCTCCCAATGCATGTGGAGGCATTGCATTAGTGCTGTCAGGTACTGTGCTACAATGTTAAATATAGATGCGTAGTCTAAAAGAGATTAGATTAGAGACTTTTTCCTTTAAAAAAAAAATGCTGTAACTTTCAAACTTCTTGTTGTATCCAATAATACTCTTATTTTTAATTTCAGGACTCAAAGCTAGTGATATTCATTACACTGTTCACTCTGTCAGAAGAGCTTTAGAAAATACTGCAGTGAAAGCTGAAAACATAGAAGTATTTGCACAAGGACATGGTATTATTCAGGTACTTGCTGGCAAAAAACCCCAACATAATATAAATAACTACCAATGGAAAACTAACCCACAAAAAAAAGCAGCTTTCTAGAAGAGCTCACTCAGTTTGCTCCCATGCTACTTGATTCTCAGATCTGACTGAGGGAGAAGGGAATGTAGTGGGAGGGGAGGAGGAATGAGACTGTTCTTTCAGTTTCTGCATGCAATTGGTGTAGAATAAATATGTTAACTTGACACATTCTTAGACTGATCAAGAAGATATGTGGACATAAAAGTGGGATGTGTTTTTATCACCCACGTGTGGATTTGGATGCCTAAATTCTGTCCTAATGTCCAAAAATGTTTTTAGGCTATTGTCGGAGAGAGCTGAACTTTGTGCAGACAAAAGCTGGAACTGTAAGTTCTAGACAGTGAAAACACAGAGATACCCACGCTGGTTCACGAAGCAGTACAGCTGCAGTTGTGTGATGACTTTGCTCTGAGCCTTCACTGAAAAGTCTGAGTGTTTATTTGTATCCTGTGGACTTCTAAGTAGCTTGGAAATCTGTGATGTGATCCTTTGTACGATGAAGGCATAGTGAATGACAGTGTCGCTATGTGTAAGCTTAGGTTCTTAAACAACTGCTGCTAGTGTTTGCCTACAGTCACTCCCATCCTAGCCAAATGGAGGTACTGAGATTTTGCTCTCATGCTTGAAGATGCTAGATATTAAATGCTTAGCCCTAAACTCACATTGGAGATGCTAGAACCTAGTGGGTAACGTCTGCTTAAGCACATCTGTAACACTGAGTTTAATGCAGAAGGCAACAATGGTGGTAGCCATATCAAATGAAAAAACCTTGCCACAGAAAAATGAAATGCACTAGTCATATTTAATGATTTAGTAGTCTGATTAAAGCATGTGTTAAAACATGTGGTTAAAACTCTGATCGGGGAGACTGAGGCTGTTGTATGTCCGCTTGTCTCAAAGGAAAGTTCCCTCATCTCCACCGGTGAAGGTAACTCACTGTGAAGCAGAGGAGAATGTAACATTTTTGGAGTCAGTAGACTAGAAAGCGAGATAGAAGGGTGCCTTTTTAAAACAAAAAGGTGAACTTGTCATCTGAGTTTACTGTGACAGTTCATTTCCTTAAATCCAGGGCTGGGTTTCCTGACCTGATTCTCTTATTTCATATCAATGGGCATCCCATATTGCTTGTCTCTTTTGAACTGCTCAACTTCTTGTATTGTATGAAAGGTTTAAATGGTTAACTAGTGTTGCTCCACGTACAAGAAAGGCACCTAAATTAGTGTAGTAGACCTGAGCCTTTGAAGTCCTCTTTGTCTTTGAAGTCTTCTCTGAAAACTTCTTACACATCTTTTGATGGATTTACAGCAAATGAGATTTGTCTTTTTTTTTTTAATTTTTTGACTTTTTTAAATGTTTTTGACTTTCTGTGCTCTGTGGCTGTTGCAGACTGAAAATACTGCCTCATTTTTTATACTGAGTATCGTGTAAAGGGCCATCAGTGTGGTTGAGGTAGCACGTGAGTTACTTCGTTGTTTGTTGCTCTGCTTGCTGACCACTTCATATTGAAGGTAATATGCATAAATTACTATTAAGTTGAGATTTGTTAATTTAGAGTGTGTTCTTTCTAACAGGTTGATAAAGCCTATGACTACCTCATTCAGAATTCATCGTTCACAAGTAACATAGGCTTTACAGTTACTGTCGGCAGCAACCGTGGAATCTACCTCAGAGATCCTGCCCAGATAGCTGCACCTTCTGATCATGGGGTTGGCATAGAACCTGTCTTTCCTGAGAATACAGGTAGGAAAGAGCTTTTGTATGGGGGAGTGGAAATAAAGTGTAACCTTTAAAAAAAAAAGCTGTGACTAATGAGGAGTGATAGGAATCTGTACGGTAAAAGGAGTAAGTGCAACTCTAAATTTCATGGTGAATGAAGGCATGCAGCTAAACAACTTTTCTGTTCTAAGCTTGGACTTGTAACTGCAGCACTTCCATGTTTTGGAGGAGTCTGTTGCTTCAAGCTTCCTCTCACTGGAAAAAAAGGGGATCTCCCCTTGTTCTGAGGAAATTTAAAGTGAAGTTGTGGGGCTAGGGAAAAATGCAGAAAAATAATCCAGTATCCCTAATGTTTCATGAAATTGTGGAACTTCAGGATTTTTGGAGTAGGTAAATCTTGACAAAGAATGATTACTGTTCTAAAGATGAAAGAGCTTACCGAGAAATTAGTTTCTCAGTTATTTAAAGACTATAAATTCTGGATTTGGACTTTATCTAAGTTTCCACAACCTGAGAAAAATCTTTGTTTAACAAACTAGACTTACATTCACTATCTAAGAATGGATAAACATAAATATATCTAAAAGCAATACAGGAATTGATACAGGTTTTAGTTAGTTACTAACAGGGTAAAGTAACTTGTGCGACTCAAGATAAGGTTTGACATCTTTTCTCCATAAACTGTTTTGCCCTGGTTTACTTTTATTAAATACAAACTGGAACTCACTGAGAGACTGAATTACATTGTATTCAAAAAATGATCCATGTGAGAGCTTGTTACTGAGATTAGTTCCTTTCTTAAAACCAGCGATGCCCAAGATGGTTGGCGTGTGAAAAAGGAGTGGGGGAAGAAAGGCTATGAATCAGGACAGGTTACTGACTCAGAGTAACTTAGTTTTTTAGCAGGTTACTTTGCAGTTGGTGCTTTTTAAATTTACCGTATGACACAGAGAAATAAAATAATCGTACAATCGACTCTTCTGCAGGAAACAAACAATCTGAAAACATAGTTGGACATTTGTAACGGATGACAGATCTGTAGCATGATGTTGTTTCTCTAGTACCTGTTCAGTTGTTATTTCTGTGCTGTGTCTGCAACAAGACTGAGTTTGGGAAACTGTAGTAAGAGGTTAAGGGAGGCTAATCTGCTCAGTCTGTCTGTTGAAGGTCTCTTTGAGCTTTTATTGCTTCTCATGTACCTGTGAGGGAATTGCATCTAATAATAGAGTGCTCTTTTTCTCTACTCAACAAAGATGTAATGATATGTCTGAAAATTAAGCTGAGGTTAATTAGGAGTAGGACATGTTGAAATTTTTTTTCAAAGTCTCATTAATCTTTAAGGCAGGAGAAAGCTGGTTTTTAATCACTAAAACATTCCGGCTAGGGATGGATGGTTTTCTGGAAGCAAAATTGGCTAAATTGACTGTTTACAAAGTCAGACTAGATTATCACAGTAATTTTTTTAATAGACTTTATCTCTCGCTTAGGTTGCTCTATAATGTAATTTGATAATTGGCATAACCTTCAGAACCAGTGCAATTGCTTTTTGTTGTCTTTTGCTGCATTCGGCAAGACTTTGTATCTATACATAAACTTTATACCTGCTTCCAGACTATGTTGTGAGTAGCTGAAGCGTTGCTTACTAGCCTACCTTTGACTTTGTCAGATTTGGCTGTTTTGGGGGCAAATCTTGAAGTTGGGTACAACCTTTATTTTACTGTACACTGCTGCTATTCTGTTTTTCTCAAGTTAAAAGAAATAATATAGAACACTGTCCTTGGTGGGGAATCTGACATCCAGGGGCCCTAAGGAATTGGTTCCTATTGCATTTTATTGATGTGGTGAATCAAATTTATTTGATTTAATGGCAAATACTGTGTTATAGTAGAATATAGGCATATATTTGTGTTAGTGAACTATTTTTTAAAACTTATTTCTTGACAGAAAACACTGAAAGAATATCTCTCCAGCTTCATTTAGCTTTAACTTCAAATGCACCATGGGTCCAGTGTCCTAGTCATTTAGAGCTTATGAACCAATGTCGACACATAAATGTTCGTGTGGATCCACGTGGCCTGAGAGAAGGACTACATTATACAGAGGTATTGAACTGCTGGTGTTCTAAGCAAAGTTGTGTGCCCTTTCCTTTCTGTGTGGTCTCTATCAACTTTTTATAGAGGTAATTTTTAAGGAAATAAAAGCTGTGTGCTGTACAGACCAGAAAATACTGTGACA